ATATAAGCCCAAAAGACTCCTTATGTTTCTTTTCCTTTTTTTTTTTAATATGATTGACCCTCGGACGCCTTTAGTTGTAATAATCATCACCTACAATTTCAACAATTTCAGTAGCGTGGGTGATTATTGTTCAATTATTCGATCAACTGTAATTATAATGATAGAGTGAAGGTGAATGTCCAACCAGTCTTCGAACAGAGGACCCTATCACGTTAACGATTATTAAATGATAGACAAAAGGAGATAAAAGCCTAAAAGACTTCTTATGTTTTTTTTCCTTTTTTTAATATGATTGACCCCCGGACGCCTTTAGTCGTAATAATCATCACCTACCATTTCAATTATTTCCGTACCGTGGGTAATTATTGTTCAATTATTCCATCAACTGAAATTATAATGATAGATAGGACGAAGTGGAGGTGTGTGTCCAACCAGTCTTCTAATTGAGAACCTTATCACGTTGCCGATGATGAATTAAATTATAGGTAAAAGGAGATATAAGCCCAAAAGACTCCTTATGTTTCTTTTCCTTTTTTTTTTTAATATGATTGACCCTCGGACGCCTTTAGTTGTAATAATCATCACCTACAGTTTCAGTAGCGTGGGTGATTATTGTTTACTTATTCGATACACTGTAATTATAATGATAGATAGGAAGAAGTGAACGTGCCTGTCCAACCAGTCTTCGAACTGAGGACCCTATCACGTTGACGATTATTAAATGATAGACAAAAGGAGATATAAGCCCAAAAGACTCCTTTTGTTTGTTTAGTGTGGTCAAAAATTAAATAATATTATGATAGAGTTCACTATATCCTAATAATATGGAAAAACATTAATTAAGTAGTTCATGTTTATATTAATAAGCAGTAATGGACAGCTGTAACTAAGTATTGTAGGAATAGTTTAAAATGTCTTTTGTATTGACCTGAATAATTCTATTTCCTACCTAATTGCTGCTTTTTGAAGAAAATGATACTGATAGCATCATTTTTCTTCTTTTAGAATAACTGTTCTTTGATAAAAAGTTTTATAAGTAATTGTTTTATAATAAATTAGGTAGTAAGCTATCTACAAAAATAATCGTCCATATCCAATTTAATTTGTTTTCTATTTTCAAAAGGTTTTCACATTGTACCAACTGGCAATGAGGCAATTAAGTAAACAAGATCATTATGATTTTGGATTACGTTCAATGGTGGCACTTCTGAGATACGCGGGTAGGAAAAGACGTCAATATCCCCAACACCCTGAAGAGCAAATGGTTTACTTGGCAATGCGCGACATGAATATTGCTAAACTTACAGCTGACGATTTGCCACTCTTTAACGGAATTATGTCTGATATTTTTCCCGGAGTTGTTATTCCTACCATAGACTATGAAGATATGAATAACGCGATTTCAGCTGAGTTAGTCGCCAATGGATGGCAGGTAAAAATTATTACACTTAAATGTTCCTTTCTTCAAATGCAACAGCCGAGGCTTTGTTTATGACTATCTGCAAATACACGTGTATATCTTTACAAACAAATGTTTCTCTACTTAATTAACGTATATGAACTTTATTATCAGGTAGGTACCATCTGCTTTTCTATAGTTTCTTATTATAGATGTTACCGGAAATATATGAAACCTAGAAATTCTATACATTTCCTAGGAAATGTATACAACTCCGAGGCTATTTTAGAAATCTAATCCCTTAAGAGGGTGGGTGGGATCGAAAGAGGAGGTCTCCCCCACCACTGTACCATAAAAAGTTCGTGGCTGAAATTCCGATATTGTACTAGGAAATATATAAAACTAATGATTTCTGTGAATAAAATTCTCTAACACATCAGCCTGTCTCCGGCGGGCAGGGACATTATATAAACTCAAATCTCTCACAAATCTACTTAACCATACAATGATGTCACCAATGCATATGAATTTTTAGTATGTTGTGGAGGTGCATATTCTGATTATTTTGATATTTTGGGCGCGGAAATGATAATGAAGCATAGTTATCGAACGTTGGAAAACAATACTTAACGACTTATGACATAAAGTAAGCAGTAATATGGAAGGCTGGGATGTATATACATTGGTGACGCCATTGTTTGATTAGGTAGATTTATAACAGATTGGATTTAAGACTTAAGATTTCATGACCTTGCCTGCAGAAAACTTTAGTTTTATATATTTCCTAGTATAATATCGGAATTTCATACAATTCCTAGGAAATGTATACATTTCTGAGGATATGTGTGTGTATTAAAAAATCTAGGTAGAACTCTTCTACTTTTCTAACTTAACCTTACTTAACTGTTTCCGCTTCTAATGTCTCTGACTAGCTCTTCATGCCTAAGAAAGTGTCCCACCAACTTACCTTCCCTGTTTCTTACGGGTTTTCATAGAGACCTTTGTTGTCCTATTTTTCCTACCACCTTTTCATTTCTGAGCTTCTCTATTCATGGTATCCTCATAATACGCCTGTAACACTACATTTCAAACGCTACCAATTTTTCCTATGTAGGCCTTCCACGTTCCGCTATTTCTTCTAAACCCAAATTGAATTAATCCTGATTGTTCTTCCGCCCTCTTTTTCCATACTCTGTACGATTCCAGTTAAGATTTTTGACGAATGAGAAGTCGTTGCACGTGCTTGAAATATATTATTGGAATCTTGGTTCATACTTTTAAATCATTTTCTCAAACTTAGTGTTTGTTTAAATAAGAAAGAAGCACAAAAAATTTGTTGGCAAACTTTATCCATTATAGTGTAATAAACAAAATCCCACCCCAACAAAATAAATTCATTCCTAGTAACAAAAGTCCGAGTTCAAAACCCCCAGGCACTCCACTATTAATGAAGATTATATTAAAGCTTTATTATGTATTACCTATATTGCATATCGCTTTAATAAAATAGGTTTCTCTATTTTATTTAGCCTGTTCAGATAGCCATTACGAAAGTTATCCAATTATACGAAACGAAAAATTCAAGACATTCCGTGATGATATTAGGTAATACTGGTACTGCCAAAACAGTTACATGGAAATCATTGAAAGGTGCTATGGGTCGACTAAAAAAGCTTAACAAAGCGGGATTTAATGTTGTTGAAGTTTTTCCTATCAACCCAAAGGCCCTCAATTTGGGAGAATTATATGGGGAGTACAATTTGGCAACTAACGAATGGTTGGATGGTGTTATAAGCGCTACTATGCGAACTACTTGTTCAGGTTGGTATCTCTCATTCCAATTTTTACCAAAGTAAATAAGTTTTACTTACTTATATTTAAGTAGGTCTTAAATCAGAATAATCGTTTGCACAGCAAGATAAGAATAAGCCACACCTACGAATTAGAATAAATGCTTATATTTAAGGGAAGGTTGTACCGGGCTTAAACACGGATCTAATAGTGGGAGGAAGGAAATTTTGTTGTACTTAAGAGCTGAATGATTATGATAAATCATGATGGATTACATATTTCAGTAGTGTAACATTGCATTGTTGAGAAGTCAAATTAGGAAGTATGTCCCTGAATATCAGGAAAAAAAAAACAAAAAAATCCTTAGTAGTAGTAAAATTCTCAGAAATAGTAGGAAAACCATGAAAAATCATACTTAACAACAGACTATTATTAATATCTAAATTATTATTAAGTGATTTCTTACTTGAGTTCCTGTTATGTGCTTCAATTGCCTACGGGTGCTACTTTCATAGTCATATCACAAGATTTGACTCCCATTTGAGCCAGACTTTGCTTGAAGTCGTACATTGTCTAATCAGCTATAGCTGAATGATAAATAGATGGAATAAGATCTGCTCTAGCCTTTTCGCTAGTTTTCTTTCAACTAACTAGGTCTACCCTAAAAATCGAAGCAACGGTACTTTCAGTCCTCATTGACATCGTTTTCTTTTCATTAGCAGAAATCATATTTAGTCAATAATGTTGAACTATCAATAATAATTACACTGGATTTCATTTATTACGATCTTGGTTATATAGCGACCATTTTACTATAGCAACGTTAAATCTAAGTTGCTTCAATTTAAAATATACTTTAGTACAAAATTCATGTAGCTACAAATCCTTAGTAATCCCATGCAGATACAGCGACCGGAGTCGGCCGTCAAAGACACAAAAAAACCCTCTCATCTTTACTGCCTGTTTATAGATGTTAGCCAGATAGGTAGGTAAGCATGTACTGTACGTTAAAATGGTTCATTTACAAAGTGATATTCTTTCTAGCAACTGTGTTTAGTAAATTTTTGTATAAGTATGACTTCTAAATACACATTTACTGTTCAAAAAAGGCGGAAATCGTTTCAAAATTGAAAAATGGCAAAAACTATACATACGTGTCCTTATCTCTTTACCGCTGCCTGTAACGACTTCCGGATATAACGACGAAATTACAGTGGTCTATTCGTCGTCGTTATACCCGAAATTCACTGTATTGTCCTTGACCATATACCCATTTGTAGTTGCGACCATATAGTTAATTTTTAATTGAAATGATTATATTTATTTAACTTTGTAGTTTTCTACAGCCCTTTGACCTGCTGTAAGTTTGGTACTTTCTTTAGAAACACTCTGTGTGAACAATATTTGAGGGTGGATATGCTTGCAATGTGAGACAGAAATTTGTGTTGATCATCGACTATGGACGAACTCAGTGCAAATGATTTCCAATGTAATTTTTTTCACTAGTACATTCTTAGAGAATGACTTCTTTCCAGCTCTTTTGATTTATTTGAAAAGTAGTTTGATTTTGGAAGTCACTGAACCTTTATTCACTGGTAGTAGCGACAAACTATTCTTACATGGTTAACACGTTTCTTTTCTATTAAATATTTTAAGAAATTCAAATCGTAAAATAGAATAGAATAGAAAATAAAAAATTCGTTTATCCTAATACACTTATATTTACACAAAGTGCCTACCATTTGTTCCATATTCATCATCATCATATGGTCGTCAGTCCTAAGATTCTAAGACTGGTTGGACACGCACCTCCACTCGTTCCTATCCTAAGGTAATCTTCGTATATCCCTCAAACTAGAACAACCCATATCCTTAACTATTTGCGAACACTAATCTAATCTAGGTCTACCTCTGCCCCTTCTAACTCTCGTTTCTGCGTCTAATATGTCTC